CTCTGATCTGGGCCTGAGTTTTTTCATTAAACTGCACCCCAGGCAATTCTGCATTCTCCACAAGTCACCTCTCAGTGGCCCTACACTGATTGGGGGGGGTGGATCAGCTGTCCTTGCTGTGTCCCCAGTGTTCTCCTGGTGGGCCTGTCTTCCCCACAGCCCATGCTCCAAATACTTCCCATGCAGCAGGCCGTGTGCTGGTCCCTTGCAATGACTCACTGGCCTCTGAGTGGCTCCCCTTTTCCAGCTCTTCTGGCTCCTTACTCCTGCGTTGGTCCTTGGGAACACTATTAGTGGTCTTGCTGTCCTGGGGGCCACCAAGGCCTTCTTCTCCCCTGCTTCCTCCAAGCAACCCCCTCTGAAGGGCACAGCTGTGGCTTCTGCCAGCTCCTGCTCCATGTGCTCAGCATTAAAGTGGCCATGACCCGAAACGTTCCGAGCCGTTTTTTCTTTCATCGTGGCTTCTTCTGCCTTCATGCACTCCATAGGTCTCTCCTCCTCTTCCCCTGAGCTCCAGCGGCCCCAGCTTGGCTGATGTTACATTTTTATAGTTGTAAATTGGTTGATTTGTGGGAGAGAGTGACACTGGGGACCGTTTATTCTGCCATCTTGACTGGAACTCCTCTTTCTGAGTATTTTTTGAATGAGATGTGGGTACAAGTCTTCTTTTGAATTTATTTTGACTTTTGTGATGCTATCATGAATGGAATTATGGGTAGTTTCTTAATTTCATTTCTTATTATTTTTCTTAGTATATAGAAATATGATTGATTTTTATATTTTTATCTTTTTTTTTTTTTTTGTCCTTTTTGAGACTGGCTGCACCGTGCTCAGCCAGTGAGCGCTGTGAATGCACCGGTCATCCCTATATAGGATCCGAACCTGCGGTGGGAGCACTGCTGCACTCCCAGTGCTGCACTCTCCCGAGTGCACCCTGGGCTTGGCCCTATATTTTTATCTTATTCTTCCACCTTGCTAAACTCATTTATTTATCCTAAGAGGTTTTTTTTTTGTAGATTTCTTCAGATTTTCTACATACAGAATCATGTAATCTCAGAACAAAGAAAAAAAGTTTTATGACTTGCCTCTAATTTCGTTTATATGTGTTATTAAATGGGCTAGAACTTCCACTGCAAATACTGGATTGAATTGATGAGAACAGATATCTTTGCCTTGTTTCTGATTTTATGGGAAAAGCATCCAGTTTGTACCATTAAATAAAATATTAGTTGTAAGTTTGTCTTGGATACCCTTTATCAGGTTGAAGAAGTTCCTTTCTATTTCTGGTTTTTTGAGAGTTTTAACTATGACTTTTTTGTCAAATGCTTTTGCTTCTTTTATTGAGATGATCATGCTTTTTTTTTTTTCTTTTTCTGTTAACAAGATGTGTAGGATATTAAATCAACCATGCATTCCTGGGACAAAACCCACTTGGCCATAGTGTACAACGTGTTCTGCATGTTACTAGATTCGGTTTACCAATATTTTGCTATGGAGTTTTGCAGGCGTATTCATGAGGGATATCGATATTTAGTTTTATTTTCTTGTGATGACTTTATGTGGCTTTGTATTAGCTGACAGTATCTTCATAGAATGAGTTGAAACTGCTCCCTCCTCTGTTTTCTGAAAGAGTCTGTTTACTGATTTCTCTTTTGCCATCTCACATCTGCTGCTGAGCCCCTAACAAGGACTGCAACCTCAGCCTAGTATGGCTGCTGGCCTCCGTTCTCTCTCACTGAGATTGCAGATTGTCCCTCTGCTGACCAAGCTTCTGTGCATGAGTCTTTTACCTCCAGCTCAAATCATCTGAGGCCTCTCCAGAAGTGAAACAGCTGGTTTTCATGATTTACCACACCCTGCTAAATCTGCTGTGCTGATTGAGGTAGGGGTGTGGGACAGTCACAGCCTCTTACCCTAAATTCAGTAGTGTCTTTCCTTCCTTCCTTCCTTCCTTCCTTCCTTCCTTCCTTCCTTCCTTCCTTCCTTCC